GGGGGGAGAGAGAGAGCGAGAGACAGGGAGAGAGAGAGAAGAAGGAGAAGAGAGATACAGAGAGCAGGAAGACAAGAGGAAGAGACAAGTAGTGTGACAAAGAGAGTAGTGAGACAAAGAGAGAGAAAAATAGAACGGGAAAGATGGGGGCCAGGGGTGGCAAGTCATCAGGATACGGATGCAGTCATACCAAGTGAGCATGCAAGAAGATGTACGCAAGGAAAGCAGGGAAAAACTTAAGCAACGTGTCGATGTAGACGTGAAGCGAAACCTACCGACAAGACGACAGATAGACAGAGGGACGGACAGGCAACCAAGCAAGAAGGGACCAGAATCGAAGGGTCGAGGGATGGCGGTTATGCCGAGAAAAAAGCTGGACTTGTTGGATCCGGTCGCGTCAAACACAAAGTGGAAGTTCTTACAAATAAGAGGCTCTTCAAACTTCTTGTCTTGAGGGCACCCATCCTGGCCTTATACGTTGTTGACTGGCCGTCCGCTCGCCTCTTTCTCCCGACGCACCCTTCCTCTACATGTTCACGGCATCACCCCGCCTACCTGTCGAAGCTGCTGTTCATCCTCTGCCCCCCGCCCACGCCGGCCATGTTCTTAACCACGGGTACGCTTCCCTTCACGACCAGCACAACGACCAAGCCGTCCGCCGCCCACCTCAACGCCCGCCGCGCCCCGCGCAGGGCTCTCCAACACCTCGCGCTCCACAAAGAACCACACCCTCCAAGGTCGGCAGAGGAAACGGCGGCGGCATTCGCACCCTCAGAAGAGGCGGGGGCGGCGGCGGCTGCGGCGGCTGCGGCGGAGACTACGGCGCCACCCCGACAGCTGGCGGCAGGAGCCGGCGACGGCGATAGCGACGGCGGCGGCGACCGCGGCAGCTTTTCCGGCCCTCCCTGCCCCCGGAAGCGGAGGCCGTGGAACGAGTCCCGCGGGCCGCGACCGCTGCTGCCGGCGAGCTTGCTGGCTATCGCTGCCGCCCTTGGGATGCCGTCGGTGTCGTCGTCAGCATTGTTGTTGCCGCCTTCGCTCTCTTCTTCATCTTCTTCTTCTTCTTCCGACTCAGACGACCACTGAGGCGTGGACTCTGTGCGAGCAATCCCAGGCCGAGAACGGAGAGCGGGACGAGAACCCGAACCCGAACCCGAACCCACGGCCGTTCCGTCTCCACCCCGCTCTCCGCCGCCATCTCCGCTGGTGCTCCCACCACCACCCTCCTTCACAACATCCCCTTTCCTTGCAGAAGGTCCCGCGGACACAGCACTCGTTACCGCAGCTACCTCCCCTCCCCCGACCCCTTTCCCCTGTGTCGACGTCGGCGTCGCCACCGCCGCCCTCGCCGCAAGGCCGCGCACGAGTCGCCGGAGCACCGGCCGGGGGAAGAGCCTTGCGAGGTGTAGGTCGTCGAAGGAGAAGACTGCGGGCACCGCCGTCAGCCAGTTGAGGAAAGACAGGTTCCCGGACGCCACCAACACCGCTTGGAACAAGATCTTGATTTTTTTGTTGTGGCGGAAACATTCGTGTAGCGACAGAACCAACAGATACACGCAAGGGCGGGCGCGCGAGAACACACGCATGNGGGGGGGGGGGGGGAGGGGGCTGGTGATAAAAAGGGCGTGTTTGTTGTCCCGTTTTCGAGACTGACGTCTTTTGAATGGTTCACCCGGCTATTCGCGTTCAATGCCCATTGAACAACTCCACACACTCACTCTCAAACGCAGCAGCAGTCAGAGGACCAACAACGAAAGACACCACTTTAAAAGCGGCAATTGCAACAAGACGTGGGAGGCTCTTTCTCGCGTTTCGTGCATGGCCGGGGCACGCAGATCACGCTTGCCCCCTCGGCATGCCCGGATAACCCGGAACGGAGTATGCCGGGTTGTCACCCGCCAGGCTAATAGTGTCCGACGAAGCGGCGCTGAGAGGTGTACCTGCACCTGTATCCCACTACGGTCCGTTCTTTTACGCGAGCTTCGGCGCAATGATGGAATGAGGTGGGCGGTGATGTGAGGACAACTAATTTTTTAAGAAGCAGAATTAGAGTAGTCAGCGCTGACTAGTCTAATGGTTTGATATCGACTTCCAAAGGCTGTAACTCTGCTACTACTTCTCCGGTGAACCGCGAAAAAACGCAGCCAACCACGGAGGGCAGACGCGGACGTGGGGAGACATCCGTCTCCATTTTCGGCCGCGACGAGGCGTCTCTTTCCGCCTGTCAGCCGGCTAGCCAGCCCCATTGGTGCTACAGCCGGAGCAAACTTCAAGAGGGGCCACACGTCAGCGGCGGAACGACGGCGACGCGCTGCTACCGCTGATCCCATGTTCATCTGTTCAGTGGTGCGGGTTCCCACTCATTCTCGTGGGGGGACTTTTCGCGGTTCTGACAATGGTCGCTACCGCTGCGCATGGCATTGACTGGGGCAACCACAGCGCACGCGTACCTCCAGAGAATGGTGTCTGGAATCGCGGCCTCCTGCCAGCGAAGGCCTTTCGCCAGGTTCCAGGCAGAGCTCACGTCTGCCCATCCCAGGGGGTGGGGAGCCGTGTCGCACCTGAATGGCGACGCGGGCGTTGATGCCACATCTGTGCAGCTCCTCTATCCGACCCAGCCGCAGGTTCAGGTGCGACACGGCTCCCCACCCCCTGGGATGGGCAGACGTGAGCTCTGCCTGGAACCTGGCGAAAGGCCTTCGCTGGCAGGAGGCCGCGATTCCAGACACCATTCTCTGGAGGTACGCGTGCGCTGTGGTTGCCCCAGTCAATGCCATGCGCAGCGGCAGCGACCATTGTCAGAACGGCAAAAAGGTCCCCCATGAGAATGAGTGGAAACCCGCACCACTGAAGAGATAAACATTGCATCAGCGGTACCACCATCGTCCGTACCTGGATCGATCCCGCGACGCAGCGCGGGCTTCGGCTGAGGAGAAGACACCACGGCAGCACCAGCTCCACGATGTGGTTTACAACCACTTCCGCCTTGTGCCTGTTGGGTGTCAGTTACAAAGAAGGGTCGCGCGGGAAGCAGGGAACGTGCCGGTGCGAGGGTACTTGGCAAGACCAGGATTGGAACATGGGAATGCTGCTTGTCAGTGGATAGCATGACAACGACAACGACGACCATCAACGCCAAAACATCAAGGACACACACTCCTTGCCAAGTGAACGTCAACGAAACTGCCAAGTACCACCCACCACCACCACCAACAACAACAACAACAACGGCTTACCATTCCGCGCTAGGCAGGTGATGCAGGTACCAGGAGAGCGGGTTGGGGTTCGGCTGGGTCTGGTAGTGGTGCTCCATGCACGTCAGGTCCCACCAGCAGGCGTCGCCCCGGACCTTGATCAGTCCCGCTCCAAGCTTTGCCGCATGCATGCATGCGTAGCAGCGTCAAAATGCGACGACGAGGGGGGGGGGACGCACCCAGGAAAAACGCAACAGGGGGGGCGGGGAAGAAGGAGATTAAAACACGGAGCGCCAGCTTCGTCCCACGGAAGAAGTCATTCTTACGGCGTGTGTCGGTAGGCGGCACGACGGCAGTCTTACACGCCGTCCTACGCCCCCTTCAACATTTTTTGGGCACCACGATTCTCTTGGCACTTACCGCTTGGTGCTGATAACTAATTACCACACGTGTCTTCGGGGCACTATTGTAGCAATACCTAAGGTGTGAATGCAAAAATATGGCAGGTCTATTCATACACCATAATCCATCCGAACAGAGGACGAGACGACGGTATCCAACTCCAACACACCACCGCGCCAACGCACCGACCGCAACCGCTTCCCACTGCCGCGTACAACAACAACAACCATTCAGCAAGCACGCAGAAAAGGCCACGGCAAGGCTGCTCGGCGCTGGGTCACCCCTAACACAAAAGCACCATTTGTTGCCACGACTGCCACGACTGCTAACTACAACACACCGACGGCTTGGCTCACCATGATCCGAAACAGAAGCCAGCGGTAGCCCCACACGCAGACCGGGGAGGTGGGTGATCCCGCGGGGAAGCGGGACAGGCTGAGCCACGGCACGAGGAACATGGCCAGGAAGCCCGTCTCCAGCAGCTGGGACTCCCACCCTGTGAGTGTATTTTTGTAACAACATGAGCATCTACCCAGCTAACCGATGAAAATATGCGAATGTGTGTGCGTTTGCTAAATGAGCATCCACCGCGCTAACCGGCTGACCGATGAAAAAAATGCGTATGTGGTTTCCTAAATAGCACGAGCCGGCTGACCAATGAAAGGACGTCAGTCTCAGAGAGTATGAGAAGGCGTCGCCCAATGCAAAAAAGCCTGCATGCATGGTGCGTGCGTACGTGAGATCTCTGCGTATGTTAACTGAGGCTCTCACAACTTTTCCTACTTGCTGCGTGAGGGCCAAAGACAAAAATTACTTATGGAAAAAATCTAGCAAAAAAACGGACGCCCTAGGGCGCGCACCCGAAGCACAAGCACCAGCCTGCCTCTGACACCAATCCAGATGCCACCACCGCCAAAATCAACAACCCAAGGCAACAAACAACAACGCCGAGGTTGTCAAACAACACCCACACCAGCACCGACAACCCACCCACAACGACAACAAGCGTCTCGTGCCCGAAGTACTTCGACAAACTGCAAAAATCGACAAGCCTCACCGAACGAATACCAGGTCTGGCCCACGTTCACCAGGGAGTGGTAAAGCGCCCAGAGCAGAGCCATCGCCGGGAAATTCGCCGCCCCTCTCAAGGCCACAAAACACGAAACCACCGCGCCGGTGGCGGCCGCCCACCACAGGTGCTCCGCCGTCGGCGGAGTGAACCAAAACACTGTGGGTACCTGTTCGTATTCATCGCACCCCCACGGGGGGAGGGAGGGGCCGGGCGAGAGAGGCAAAAATCGAGGGAACCATTGCACGATATTTGAGATAACACC